CCCCCCCCGCTGCTCACCTATGTAGGCCGCCTTCTCCGTGGCCATGAACTTGCTGTGGTTCACCCTGCTGAAGGGGATGTTGGAGTGGTTCCTCACGGGCACGATGAAGACTTTCTTGGGGGAACAGAGAGGGTGTGTCAGCCAACAGGGAGGCTGCTTCCCGGCCCGGCCAGGGGGTGGGTCCTCACCACGTCCACGGACACGTTGGCCGCGGGGTTGCTGAGGGCCTGCAGGGACCGCAGGTAGGGGAACATGCTGGGGTCCGTGTTGAGCCAGCAGCTGACCAGCAGGCGCACGCGCACGCCCCTGCTGACGGCCGCCACCCGCAGAGCCGTGTCCAGCACCGGCCAGTACCTGGGGAGGGGTGCGGGGGAGGGTCAGGGTCCTCAGGTCAACCGGGCCCTGTGCACACGCCCCGAGTGGGCAGGGGTCCTGGTGGGCGAGGAGACAGGCCAGGAGCTGCCCACAGGCAGAGGGGCCTCCCCCGTCCGGGGCCGCCCGGCTCCCTCCTGGCCTACCTGGCGGGGTGGCTGAAGCGTGTCGTGGGGAAATACTCCATCACCGAGGCATAGATGAACTCCCGGGCGCCCCCCATCACCGCCAGCAGCGCGTCCAGGTCCCGGGTGCGGCCGTGGGGGCAGAGTGCGGGCGGCGATGCCTGTGCGGGCAGAGAGGTCCCTGAGGGCACTGCCCACCCGGTTCTGAGCGGCTGGGTTCCTGGACCCATGACGCCACGGGGCACCCACCCTCCAGCACTGGGAACCAGGAGGAAGACAAGACGTCGGGTCTAAACAGGGGCACCGGGCTGGCCTGACTCCGGAGGAAGCCCCCTGCGCGGCTCAGCCTGGGTCCCCACATCTGGGGAAGCGTCCCTGCCTCCGAGGCAGGGTCTCCACTGCAGCCCAGCACTGGGGTAGCTGCCGTGCGCCCTGAAGGGGGGTCGTGGCTGCCGGGCACGACCGCCCGCCCCTCAGTCTCCCTCTCCTCTCCCCAGAGTGACAGAATTGCCTGATGCACGGGTCCCCCCCCCCCCGGCCCCGGGGCCACCCCCACCACAGAATTTTC